CCCGATCCATTTTCCTGGCAGATTCTCATTGAGATAAGTCCACACAGCCAACTTAGTTTTTACACATTTTCTTAAAATTTGAGATCTTTTGAGCGAGAATTGGCTATGTTATTAGACTGCAAAATGATGTCAATTTTTAGAGGATATCCTGTAACATTCATGCCTAGAGATATTAATGTAATGAGTATACATATACCTAGTTCCCCCTCACAGTAATATGATTGGCTGGTGTCAGCCATAAATACAGACTGATATGGATGTACAGGAGGACGCCTATTGTCTTCGCCTATTGCCTACGCCTATTGCATACCACTACGACGAGGACCAAGTCCATTACGGTTACCTGCTAGATTGTCCTACTCAGTTACAGTAGTCAAAAAAAACTTTGCTACTTCGAACAAATATATCCCTTTCCGGGACATATCAGATATATTGTTACATATTTAGTCAGCGCGATTTCTGTTACGCATGAATACGATTGACAAAAGCTTCCTAAACAATGACGATCTTGTGCAGGTCTGCATTGTTGTCTGGCTGTGCTGGCCCGTTTGGAAAAAAATGTCTATTTAGCATTAATTGTGCATATGAAGCAGTATGTGTCAGAGTTCATTGAAAGTGTTATGAATGAAAGAATGGGTATTCGCAAATGCATCGGTATATATGTCAGAAAATTCGAAGGGATCAGAATTACTTCGTCCTAAATACAGGCCCCCCACCCCCTCCAAAAAAAAACTGACATTTCACAAAGCTTCCCAAATGTTTAATATGCGTACCACATGCGACACGCAACACATCAAGTCCAGCTTCTGCCAAACACGCTGTAGCATGTCTTGCGTAACATTCTCCAGCGGCTCAGTGATTCTATTCTTATGTTCCTTTAGGCTTATGAGATAGAGGTGGGATATAGACCTGTCCTTTCACATAACCCCATAGAAAAAAATCACAAGGTGTCAAGTTAGATGAGTGTGATGGCCATTTCAACAGCACATAGTCATTATTACTGACACACCTGGTTCATCTTCCTTGGTAGATTCACATTGAGATAATTCAGCACAGTCTACTTAGATTTTACGCATTTTGTTAAGATCATTTGAGCGAGAATTGGCTGTTATTAGACTAAAAATTGATGTCAGTTTTTTTGGCGGAAGTGACACTCTGTATTATCGGGGCTGGTTATATTTGTGAAAGAAATCAATATGAATTATATTCTTTGCGTTTCTGTATTCGTACTTGGTAATTTTCGAACCGGGTCCTTTATTCAATGAATGGGGGCAAATGTTCGCATTCCGTTTTCTATGCTTAGTCGATATCTCATATTAATTAGTACACAACAGTATTCAAATTTGTGTCACTTGTCCGTTTCTTCCAATCAACTAGAAGTGGTTTTTCAAATACAAAAGGCAGGGATTGTACTCACAACTCTCAGAAAACCCGCAGTGTATTCACCAAGGCTTTAGCCCACAGAAAGGCATGGACTATATAAAAAAAAATATCCGAAGGCTACAACGGCTGAAACGTTCTTAATATAAAAACCAGTATTAAGCATACTCATACTTCTTTACTACATGCCATGTCCCTTCAGGCTGTGGACGTTCATGGCTCTTCACAACTTCCTATCCTTCGTAGTTCTTAGTAATGCATGTATTTTTACTATCCCCCCCATTCCCAATTCTGCCCTCTATTTATACAAAGTTGTTAGAAACCACGCCCCCCCCTTATCAGGAGAAACCGAAGTTAGATCCGATGTGCTTTAGAAAAACTAAGCCACGAAGTGTCTCGCCGATCGAACAAAGCCGAATAGTGTCTTTAAGTGCAAATTATCTGCTCAATTTCATATCCTAATGTAAACAAAGCAATTTCTTATGAAGTAATTGATTTTTTTTTTTTTTGACACTATTTATATTATTCGGACTATTGTCCTCATCTTTGTCGACATATTTATTACAACGTTTCGACCTATGTACGCTCCGGCCTACTTCAGGTGTTTGGAATGTCGAAATGAACCCTTTATTTCGCTCACTGGGGTAGACTGTTCTAGTTCCACGTACCATGTCTAATGGATGTCAGTTATCTGACATCCGTTATATCTGTGCCATGTGTCCTCAAGGACACATGGCACAGTGGATAAAGGCGTTAGTTAGATTCAGTGACAGGACCCAAAGAGAGTGAGTTCAATACCTGGTTAAGCCAGTGGGGAACTTGGAGAGGGGAATTAACAGAAAATAACTGATAACTGACATCCATTAGACATGGCACGTCTGAATGATATACATAAACAGATACTGATTTTTTTTTTATTACTCCGACAGATTTTATCACTTAAGCAAATACCTCGATTTGAGTAGATGCTCCGTTTGTTTATTAAACAGTATATTTATTTATTTTCGTCTATTGGCCTGAATGTTCGAGAAATCTTATTAAAGAAAAAATGTGCCCTCCTGTTATTAGGCAGATTACACACTTTTTCCCTCTGTCACTCTTGCCTTCAATATTTATTGCGTATTCTCCAAACTTTCTGTCCTCATTATTTTGATATAAATCATGTGTACCAAGAAGTAAGACTGAAGATGAATAATTCCAGAACATAAACTATGATCTTGAACTGGAATGAAGGCAGTGATGGCACCTACTCTGAATCAATCATAAATAATTGAAGATGTGAAATAAGAAAATACTAAACATTTCAAATACTTCGGTGTTGGGATCAGTTATGACAAATTTATTATAAGAAAATAAAAAAAGAACATAGAATAGGTAGCGCTGGAATAAGTTTTCTGCCAAACCAAAACCTTATTCTAAGAACTTGAGTCATGTACTTAAATGGCCACAGCAAGATCGATACTTTCATATCGATGTCATGACGGCGCCAAACAAGTTCCGAAATATCTAAACTGGTAGCTGTATACAACTACTTTCTCAGATCAATGATTAAAGATGGCTTCGATTGAATGAATCCTGTAGGTCTTAGTGAGGACCGTACTTCTTTGAACCCCATGGACTGGCGCTAGAGAATCATAAACAAAGAACTGTACTACTTAATTAATACCACATTTCTTGAGAACTTTCAACAGCAGTAAAAACTGAAATGTAACTCAGAGAGAAAAAAATAACATAATCAAGATGTTGATGTTTGACACTACTTAAAATGTTAGTATTGTATTCTCTCTCTCTATCTCTCTATCTCTCTCGTCTTTAGCTGACAAAATTTTGAGCTGTCTAGAGATGTCAACAAAGGAAATTTTAATCTAGCTAGTTTATTAACGTCGACGTATACATTTCTACCTATTCAATAGGTTTGCTCTCCCTCCACCGGAAAGCCACTTCCAGACACGACGGGAACACGTCTACATTGTATGATTCGACACTTCTATCTGTCGTTCTCACTCTGGCTCAGCCAATAAAAATCGACTTCCTTGTTTTGTCTTCCATCTGGCCTCAAAGGTCAATCCTCAAGAAGTCGCAGCGGCGATACACCCCCCTAAAAATAATATTCAACTTAACTATTATTTAACATTTGAAAGGAAACCATCGACAATTCTGGAAGGAGTAATAACAGTTCTCCTTCTTTATGTGCCGTGTCCCCTCAGAAAGTAAACGATTATGGCTCTCCACAATCTCCTGTGCTTTGTAGCTCGTAATAAATTTTGTCTTTTTGTCATTTCTTCCAAACTCTCTTCCGCCATCCATTTACTCAATCTCGCTAAGTATGTTATGCTTTGTTTTACTCTGTTTCTCTTGCCTTCAATCTGTCCTGTATCAGATTGTCGCCTATCATTCGGTTCCTCCCCGATATTTTAAACAGAATTAGAGTTTTATTCTTGGTTTCCTGTTTAGAATTGAGTTTCCGGTTCCTTCTAATGTCTACTTCAACTCTATACTTCTAACGTCTCCGACTAAAACTCTGAAACATTATTTGCAATTTCTATTTTTTTCCTCAATAAGAGTAGATAGGTTCTCCAATCGCCCGGTTTACCCTCCTCAAGCCCATTCTTTTGAACAGGAGTAAAGGTTTATCCTTTGTTTCTGTTATGGAGTGATTTCACAGTGGAGGCTTGTACTAAGTCGGTCCTAAAATAGGTTCGACGTACAAAAACGTTAGGAACTTGATATAATAGGTATAACGCAGAGTAATTTAGTTGTGGTCGCTGATACTTTAGTATCCGACTAACGGTCGTCCGGCAGCGACTGACTGAACTGGCTCACTGAGTGACTCCTACTTATTATAGGTGGAAGAGTCTATTAACTATAGAATAGGTGTGTTCCACTATAACAGTTTCCTGTTTAGGATTGAGTTCCTTCTAAAGTCTCCACATTCTCTTTCACTCCCAGTAGCTCATTGCGTTTTTTTGGAATTACCGCCTTGCTTTGGGATAAATAGATAAAAAAGAAAGAATGCTTCGCTTACATCTGCTTCAGTTAAATGGAAAACCTTGACAAATTAAAATCCTTTCATTCGTATCCTCTAACTTCTTTAAATAATGACCTACGTTCATACTTTTGATCATTTAACAATATTTTGTTAAAATAGTTAAACTCAAATATTTAACGATGGAATAGGTGAATTTTCGTGGGTATTTGATAATCTTTCATTTGTACCCTCTTACTTCTTTAAATAATGACCTGCATTCATATTTACGGTTGTTATTGCAATATTTTGTTAAAGTTGTTAAGCTCAAATATTTAACAATGAAGTATGATTATTATAGCAATATTTGATGAGGCAACAGGATAATTTCCTCGGATATTTTAAAGCCGTAAAATACTCAATGAGCTTATTCAGTCGTTAATATAAGAATTAGGATTCTTTAAAAAAAAGAAAGAGTAAAATACAAAAACCATGAAATTTTTACCGGCATTTCTAACAAGCAATTATTCTGATTCATGTGATGATGTTTGAAGGTCATCATAAATTTCGAACAAAGTTAATCCCCAAATATTTATATGGAAAATTGTTTTCCCTTGGGCATTCAATTCTAGTCAGATTTTTTTTATTATTACAGACGCACCAACTGTTTTCAGATGTTGCAGATGGACTTGACCTTTGACACAAATTTCCGTCCATTTATAATCGATGTAAGTTGTTTTCTTTCCTTCTTAAATACGGTTTCTTCTCCAGACAAGCAGATTCACAATCATATGTCGTAAACAAAATGTCATTTTTTTACATTCGATATGCAGTTATTTTTAATACAGACTGCGACAAAAATACCTCCTACATTTTAATGGTTGTCAAAAAGACCACGGTAATTGGTATTTAAAAAATTATTTCCCTGTTGTTTAAACAAAGGGCTATAACGTTTGTTCATTTGGTTCTAAAAATGGCATCCTCCAAATCCTCTATTTGCCATACACTGCCGCAGACGATTTTTAAAGTTTTCCCTCCTCGGAACTTCCAGGTCTTTCAGTTGACTTCTTTTAAGCGCTGAACCTGTGGCCTTGAGATTTTCAACCCGTACCAGTATCGATTTTCAACCCGTACCAGTATCGATTTTCAACCCGTACCAGTATCGATTTTCAACCCGGGGTAGTATCATTCCGACGTAACATTAAATGACCACGAATAATTTTCTGTTACAATTACAGATTCACCAGTCTTTAAAAAAAAACGTTTCAACAGCAAACGCACGGTGTGCATTGGTCGAAGCCATAATGGCTACTGATGATATCTGAAAAGAAAATGGAAAGACATAAGCTAGATGAGGATACTATTGTGGTAAACCCTCCTACAGTAGAATGAACTCTTCCTCCTCTCATAAATACTAACTGAGAAGCAGTCGGATGAGCAAAGCAAGGCAGACGCAGTGTTAACCTATCGTTCGGACGTATACCTCTATCTACTTATTACTAACACTCTTGCTTTGTATATATCTTCAATATACCTGTTCAACTTACCTTCGTCTTCCGTGTCTTTCTTTCTGGCCCCTAAACAGGCCACAACAGATACCATTCCCATTTGCCTAAGTTTGCTATCACCACACAGGTAACGGTTTAAAATGTGGGGGGTTATTTCTGTCGCACCCTGTATTTAATTATAGAATTATGTTAAATTATAATATAGATTGGGTTTGTTTTTTGCATACCATTGTCATATTATTCAGATAAATGATTTTGCTTCCAAATTCAATGTTTTTTTTCTGTTATGTATAAATTATTTTCTTGTTTTGTTTTAATCACTGCTATTTCCTTTTAATGTATGCGCGTACATTCGTATAAAATCGGACATTATTACCTTCAAATTTTTATTGTGCGTTATATTATGATATGATATATTGTTACAATATATTATCATAATATTGCATTTTTTATTGTTATAGAATACAAGTTTACTAATAGTGCAAAAAGTGGTGCCATATTTTCTAACGTCTTTATTCTTAAGAAGAAGAATTTCAGAAATGTGTATTTAGAATTGTTTTACACTGCTTTATCATGGAATTGGTCGTTTCACTTCCAGGTTTCACTAACAATATATATAGAAATATATATATATATATATATATATATATATATATATATATATATATATATATATATATATATATATATATATATATATATATATATATATATAGACATCCGCCTACCCAAACAAATCCTCTTCTCGGAGTTCGCATCTGGCAAGAGACCAGACTCAAAACACCTGACTGAGGGCAGAAATCGATCCGGTCAATTGGGAGATGGAAGCTGCAGAAAGAACCAATTGGAGAACAGCAGTCCATACAAGAACAACATCCTTCGAAAACACCAGAAGACAAATAGAAGAGTCGAAGAGACCCCCCCCCCCGCAAAGAGAAGCCAGAGCTCTCCATCTTCTGAACGCCCCTACCCTAGTATACGGTGGCTGCGGAGGTCTCTTCAGATCCGACATTGACTCATTTCACAGCGAAGGGAATGTCGATGAGCACACCCAATACTCGGCAACGTACACCGTAAACTCGGTGCAAGCTGTCATCATGAACTTGCCTGTCAAGACCTGGTTTGTGGCAGAGGATGGTGTCAGCTGAATGTTGCGTGCTATAGAGTGGTAACGCATGAACCACCTGAAACAATTCGCAGACAAGGCTTTCATACACAAATCCTTTCTTCTTATCACATCTGGCAACAGACGACGTGTAGCCCCGCTTCATCGATTTAAGGATCAGCTCAAAAACACCTTGCTGGTGACAGAAATTGATCCGGTCAATTAGGAGACGGAAGCTGCAGAAAGAACCAATGGGAGAAGAGCAGTTCACGAAAAAAATCAACATCTTTCGAAGACACCAGAAGACAAATAGACGAGTCGAAGAGAGAACAAAGAAAAGCCAGAGTTCTCCAACCTCAGAACGATCCTACCCTACTATACGGTGACTGCAGACGTCTCTTCAGTCATAAGGAAATGTCGATAAGCAACCCCCAAAGATGGCAACGAGCACCGCCAACGAGATATACACACACACACACACACACATATATATATATATATATATATATATATATATATATATATATTCATGAATCCTCAAATTTTTAAAGAACGATCCTACCCTACTACTTTCAACTGTACATTCAGTCATCCTCAGGCATGAAATTATTTTGTTTTTTAGTAAATCCAGCTAGTAGCGGAGATGAAAGATTAAATGCGAATCGAAATATGTTTTGTTAATATGTTAATGATATAAAATTTTAAAGTTGCATTTCGAGATCCAAATTTCCATATTAGTAAAAAAAAAAAAAATGCACGCTCCAAAAGTTTTTATCCGTTAACAATAACACATTTCTAAAATATGCCTCAATACTTCTTGATGGCAAGGAGGCGATCTCAGCTTGCGTCAAGATTGGAAACGAAAATCATACTACGGGTTGACCGCCAATAGACACAGCCGTCGATGGTTGTGCTATCACACACACACACACACACACTACGTTCCACAACATACACACACACACAAATGTGCCTGAGTTAGCGTCTGCACACATAGCCTCCCTAGTATACGAGCATATATATATATATATATATATATATATATATATATATATGAGGGGGATGTTATTCATGAATCATTCATACAAAAGTTAAATTTTCTAAAAGTTAGCAGAGCATGATATAAAATGGCGAAAACTCTACGAACAAAAAATACACGGATTGAAAAATTTTTAAATTTGCATTAACCTCCGAACCACTATGTAGATGAATGTTTCCGTCTGAAAATGCAACGCAAAACGATACACTATTTGTTTTTGAAATGTTGGTCTTTGTATAAGGTCTTTTTCTTAATCTCATTAGTACTTTTTCAACTGTACATTCAGTCATCTTTTTTCCTTTCTCAACCCACAGGCCAGGAAGATGCGAGAACGTTTCCTCCCCCTGATCTCAGGCATGGTGATCGCTTGCGCCGGGTACTTCTTCGAAATTATTTTGTTTTTGAGGGTAAATCCAGCTAGTAGCAGAGATGAAAGATTAAATCGACGGAATCGAAATATGTTTTGTTAATATGTTAATGCGGTTTTATAAAATTTTAAGTTCCGTCAGTGGGTTTGGTTTTGCATTAACGTACGAACCACTCGATGTAGACCGCCTCAGAATAAGGTCTCAAATTTCCATATTACGGTACGTAAAAAAAAAAAATGCACGTTAATATCTCCTCCAAAAGTTTTTATCCGTTAACAATAACTGATGGACCAACGGATCATTTCTAAAATCGCCAGCCGGCTCCAGTGGAAGGTGACGGGTGCTTCTATTGATGTTACGCAGTCTGGAGGAGGCGATCTCAGCTTGCGTCAAGATTGGAAAGTGCTTGAAAATCACGGGACTCACGGACTAGCGCAGGGTTGACCAAGCCACCTTGTGTGCTTTGAATTTGTGCGGTAGACACGATCGTGTGGGAGCCGTCGTCGGGTTGGTGGCTATCGGTCAAGGTATCAGAGTCATCGTGACTGAGGAGTTGATCCCCTTGATGTGTGCTGGCCTTTTTGCAGACTGATGACGCCGGTTCACTTGCGCTAAATACCACGCGTGCTCTCAGAAACTCTTCATCTACGTTCCATCCCATCCAGTGGTGACGTCAGATTACAGTGTAAAAGACAAGCCACCTACAGGAAGGGTCCATCTGCCGGGAAAATATGCTTCCCCGCTGAACAAAGACAAAATGTGCCTGAGTTAGCGTGCTGGGGAGGCAGTTGTAGAGATGCTCCTTAGTTCCTCCCTAGTATACGAGCATCACCGTATACGAGTGGACAGCCTTTATTAAGACAGGTGAAATAGTTGTGCCCTCAGTGACTCGGTTCTAAGTAAAAAACCTCATGGCCCAAACGTATGTGGATATAAAAGAATATTTCTCGTTTGTCTTGAACCGTCCGTATGCTGGTTCCGCACAAATATTTTTTTGTTGTTGTTTTTGGTTTTTTGGGGATGTTATTCATGATGACGGTCGTCTTCAAGTATAGAATCAAGAGGTTAGCGAGCCAACAGTCAGAACTGGAATATTTTTCTTGTCCCAGTGAATAGGGTTTGCACCCGGTGTCAACAAGCGCGAAAGATCCGCACGCTCACTGCGGGTAGCGCCTTGTTCAGCGGCGAGAAGAAAGCCCGTTGTTCAGCTTGTCGGTTACGTCTCCGTGTTCCTCGGTTATGCGTATCCTTCTTTTGGCTTCGAATATTTCGGGTAAAAGTAGCTTATAGCATAGTTCGTCCTTCATCTTTTGTTTCTCTTCGCCTGACAACTTGCGTTGCTGGACTGGACATAGGATTTGGGGCTCCACCGAAGGAATCGGCCAAGACAATTTCATCCGGTAGCCGTCGTTCGGTAAACTGCCTCCAGGCGACAAAGGGGTCCGACGGATTGAATAGCTGCTTCTACGTCTTCTTTGGTTGGTCTATAACCAGTGCGGGATCTTTAATTTTACACAGCCGGCAGACCTGCTCGGCCTTTTTCCCACCACTCGACCACAGACGGGCCAGGGGGGAGCCTTCTCGAATTGGTAATAACTAAATAGCTTGTAGCAAATGAGTAAACAGTGTAAGGGACGCAACTCTTTTTGAAAATGTCTGGCTCACTGAAATGTTGGTTGCCAATGTCTCCAAGCAACCCGCTTTTATAGCACAAAAAACTGCAACAGAGGGGTCACGGACGTTTTGTTTTACTTTGCGAGAACGTTTACACCAAAAAATAACATGATTTTTTTTCAGGTGCAAGGTCTGCCTGCAGGAGACCAAAATGTAAAGTTCCCAACGCCGGCTACGGTTATTCAAGATTCGCTGAACATGGTATTACAGGAATCAAGCGTGACCATAGATGTCGCTTACGGACTGGACGAGTTAGGTTGGGATGTCGGACTTATGGTAAGTTAAAAATCAAAGAAATATTTTCTATACTTGTTTAGTCATGCCGTAAAATCGATATTGATGAACCGGATATTTGGTCGATTTTACTATTATTAAATGTTCATATGTGGATCCTTAACTATATAAATGTATCAAAAGTGCATCGCTCAACAAAATGTTATAAACATTACAAGCAAAAATCTACTTTATGTTGTAAAATAATTCAACCATGTCGACTGGATGTTCTGTTAATTTTTTATTACAATCCAAATAGCTAGTCCTGGGTATGACGATAAACTACATCCAGCAGCAAGACCTCTCATCAAAGGATTGGAGGTTTTGGGGACGGTGGACCCACTTCCTAATTGCTGTTGTTCCAAGCTCCACCCTGACCCGGGTTGTAGCACCTGTTAGGGCCCCAGCTATGGGCAAATAGTGAACCCTTAAATAAAAATAAAACACTATGAGATACAAAAATGCATTTTTATAGTACAAATAACAGCAATACATAATTATAATAAAATTAACAACAAAACATTTTATAGCAAAATAGCCAACAATATATTTTATCTGTAGTTGAAGGCATACAACTGCATATAAAATATTTAGATTTCAGCATTAAATTACCCACAGAGGTGTTGATATGCCGCCAAACAAAATCAACCAACCAATCAACCAACATAAAAGAACTCTTTAATGACATTAGTTCATATATTTCCAATAATTTCTTAAAGAAATCAAACTGTATTCCAGAATAAAACTTTAGCAAAACTACCACATAAAACACACATATCACCGTCTCTAGTAATTATGTCCACACAAATATGTATATGCACAAAAGATGAGAATCATCTACCATGTATTCTATTGTGAAAGCAGATTAACATATATCATATTTATCATTTCAAAGCTCAAAAAAAAAAGGGGTATTAAATGACCCATAATGAGTTGATATGCCGTTAAACAGACAAATCAATCTATCCAAATACTGTCATAGAATTCTCTTTCTGTGCAAACAATATTTTCCACAAGACAATGTAGGAAATGTTTTCTGTTTGATAAATGTTTAATTTCTGTGCCTAAAAATAAAAGACGATGTGTCAAAAGAACGGTTATTTCCTTCACACCGGTGGCCGGACATTTGGCCGAACGGACATTTGGCCGAACGGACATTTGGCCGAACGGACATTCGGCCGAACAGACATTTGGCCGAACGGATATTTGGCCGAACGGACATTTGGCTGAACGGACATTCGGCCGAACGGACATTTGGCCGAACGGACATTTGGCCGAACGGACATTTGGCCGAGCGTTACATTTCACCAAAAAAGTACAAGTAAAAATAGTAAGAAGCAATACTTTAAGTATTTTAATTATCAGTATTATAAGGTAGAATAGGACTAACAATTACCATAGAATTTCGAGTCATTAAATTACTAAATCTAAATTTAAAGTTAAAAGTTTTCTTATTTCAATATTTCTTTATTGAAATTAGTATTTTAAAAAATATTTGAGTGTATTTGGGTAAAAAGTAGCACTTAATTATTTAAATTCATATTTAACAGTAAGATAAAAGCGAGTTCATCCCTTTAAGATAATGATCATTAAAAGCGAAATTGAAAGATTTTTCATATCGTAAAAGCTTAAGATTTTTGCTGTAGTAAAATGTGCTTTTTCTCCAAATACTTATCATCTTACAGTAATATTTGAAGTAAAATATAATATATACAGAATAGATTTTTAATAAAAGCCTATAAAAAAACGAAAAATTATAAATTAATACAGTAAATAAATATAAATATATGTAGCACATTACGATAAAGAGTGTGACATACATGTAAGTACGCCATTACATTTTCGGCTAAATGTCCATTCGGTTAAATGTCCGTCGACCAAAGGTCCGTTCGGCCAAATGTCCCTCGGCCAAAGGTCCGTTCGGCCAAATGTCCGAGTACCACTATGCTATTACTTCATACACTTCCTTGGAAATCTTTACTGTTTTAAAAAGCGATTAGAATTTTAAATAAAGCACAAACATATGAAAGTGGTTTACACATTTTCTTTATTCTTGAGAACTGACAACAAAGATGTTAAACACTATCTATATATTAGATTGAATAAAAAAAAGTTTGTTTTTACAGTTATTTATAAAATGGTAAATAATAATTTGCCTCACTATATATAAAAATTCTTTGAGGGATCAATTTATTATTTAATAATGACAGTTAACAGTTCCCCATTGAATGTTCAGTTACATTAATGCTAGTTTTCTTATACTCTAGAAAATGAGGGCATATTTTTTACCTTGACTATTATTATTAAGTTTTCACGTGTGATTCTTCAGACATATTTACAAATGCATTGTAGTGTGATGGATATCGGCTCGGGAAGAGAAATCAAAGAGACGAGTTCGAATTCAAGTCGAGATCGTTACATTCATTTACACACAAAGAGCCTTGGGAAAAGTATGAATCCATCTCTTCTCCCCCAGCTATGGGTTGAATAGCAAGACAGACTGGATCTTATAGCCTTGGTTGGTAACCCGTATACTGCAGAAAAATCTACTTTGAGAAAATCTTCTGCCTGATCAGTCATGAATCGAAAGAGACATGATTGCCCTGGCGTGTATCACGGATGGCACTTAACTGGCCGACTGACTCTTTTGCCCACATAACCGCAAGAAGATCGAACGTTCGAAGGAAAACCCGAAACTACATACCCTCCATGGCCGACGCTTATTTGACGTAGTCCAGAAATAAATAAACAATTATTTTACATATGAAAAGTTTCGTTTTGTGTTCGTCGCAGACGTTACTGCCACAGCATTACAATATCAATATGAACTTTGGCTCTGTGGGTCACTGTATAAATATTAGCATAAAGTAAATCTAAAATCGCGACTCAGACTATTCTATTGACTCAATTCACTGACATTTTTGCCAATAAGCTATCAAAAGATCTTGATATGCCTCGCTATGTCGCAGGGTTAACTATTTTTAATATTTTTCATGGCTTTATTCTCTACGCCTTTATTTTGATTTCAAGCAAATTCATCATTCTGGACATATATTGAGTTTAATGTCAGTATTTTTCGATTTATAAAACCATCGATTATTTATTGCCTAACCCACTATTTGATCGAATGTATATTAAAGCCATTTTCTTTTCGCTTTTGTTCTCTTTACTAATTAGTAATGCTTTCTAGTTTCACCTCATCGACTGAAAATACCGCTACGTACAGGGTGTTTCAACAGTCTGTGTCACATTAGAATGTCTACGATAAAAGAAATAATACTTTAACCCAATCAGAGGCATTTATTTTGGAATTGTGAAAGACAGGAGGGGACTGCCAACTTTAAAATGCCAGAGATTTCAAATAATGGCTTAAAGTTACAATTGAGTAGTGAGTACGATCCGCAATGGGCGCTCCACACTTTCGACCTTGTGCCGAAAATCAGTTAGAACTCTCCGACGTGATGTAATGGTTAGCAAGATTGTCTCACTAGATCAATTATGGCCGAATGAATAGTGAGTTCGATTTTCACTGGCTACCTCATACACTCGGCCTTGAGCCACATCTAAGCTATACGCTTAGAAAATCAAATAATGGCTTAAATTGCTTGAAACTGCAAGATTAGTGTTTTACTTTTTATTTTAAATTTTCATATTACTGGTTCAACTGCATTAATAACATAAGAGTTTGAAAAGTCAATAAATCAAATGCTTTAATGCAATAACTTCATTTACAATGCAAATAATTTATGTTGAATGTACTTTTTTAAATATTAGTGTACTTAAGTCATAAAGTACCTGAAATAAGGCTGAATTAATCCTATATGGCACGAGTAGGTTTCGCTTACTTGCAAAGTAAGATATATTCACTACTTAAAATCTTTGAAACAAACATTTTTTTAATGAACATTTCATTCATAAATTGGCTTGTTATAGTTAAGAAAAGTTTTACAAATAGATGCCAACTTGTTGAAAGCCAAGTAAAATTCAAATTTCAAACGCTCATTGAGAGACTAGCTGCGACCTTTTCCAGCTAGACGGCCGAACTCTCTACCTTCGGAGATCTCGCGTTAAACCGGCCTTGTGCCACATGCAACCCGCGTGGAGGGGGGTAGCTAAATATACTAGCTTAGACCAAATCATTAAAAGACTAGCTGCGACCTTTTCCAGCTAAACAGTCGAAATCTCGGCCTTCGGGCAGAGAGGAACCCAGACGAGGCTTCGCCGATGTGTAGAGTCTTGTTCGGGGAGGTAGACTGACCCCTGAACCCGTTTATGCGGATTCAAAAAGGGAATATTTTTGACCGAGTCTACGGGCTCGGAGAACCCACGTTAAACTGGCGTTGGACAAGCTCAGACCAGCTTAGACCAGCGGCCCGAATGAAAGCACTCGGATCCCCACGTTAAAAACTGACCTTTTGTCGCAACCTGACTCAGTTGGGGGTCAAGTAAATATCTACTTACCGCTCACAGGGATTTGTCTCTGTGCTGGTAGTATCACAGGTATGACTAGCTTTGACCGGCACTGACCAGCTTGGACCAGTTTGGGGGGGTCAATTTTTCTTCCTTGCCCGGGTGTACGCGCTCGGGTGCCCCACCTTAAAAAAGACCTTGTGTCACAACTCGTCTTAGTGGGGAGACTGTAACCGTCTGTAAATTACTATAAAGTAGAGATGGGACTTTTTAATCTCAGAATTTGTGGGAGAATTGTGCTCCAATTTCACATTTATTCATATAGATTCCATAATATAGGTTTTACTTAATTAGCTATTATGTTTCTCTAACTCTTTAAATGTCGAATGAATAACTAATTCTAATTTCTTTTTTCCTATCTTTACACGATATTAATTTTATGTTTTAAATTGTCCCCTATTCTGTCACTCATGAAATGAAAATAATTGTACGGAAAGTAAGGACCTACGTACATCAAATTATCTTTAAATTAAATGGCAGCAGAAGAATTATTGTTGAACTTTTAAAAGGTAAGCTTAAACATTAATTCAGTACTTAAATGC